TTGGCCTTTGCATAACATACCAAATGGCCGAAAATTTTTAAAATCGCTCAATAACCACGCCTACTTCCCATATAACGGTAATTTTCAGAAATACGAAAACTGCGATATTTTAGTAACTACTGGAGATTATTCACTCAAAATTGATATTTATAATAAGTTTTAGACGAAAAATAAGAATATTATAAATTTTTGGAAAATGGGCGTAGCCACGCCCACTTATGGTTACATGTGTATATCTTGGTAACCGCTGCACCAATTTCTTCCAAACATGGCACAGTTGTTGGTCTTGGTACAGCATAAAAAACCGCCTAAACTTTTTAAAATCGGACAATAACCACGCCCACATCCCATATAACGGTAATTTAGAGAAATACAAAATCTTCGATAAATCATTAAATATTGAAGCTAATTTATTCAAAATTGATGCTTGCAACAATTCTTTACCAAGAAATACGTTTATGGTAAAATTTTGGAAAATGGGCGTGGCACCGCCCACTTATGATCACATATAAATATATCGGTAACCGTTCTACCAATTTGTACCAAACTCGGTATGGTTATTGTACTTGCCACGTGTAAGCAAAACGTTGAAAAGTATTGAAATCGGACTAAAATAACGGCCGATTCTCATATAACGCTAAATTTAAGAAATGCTTGAAACTTCAATATTTCGAAATTGAAGGACGCTAATTTACTCAAAATTGATACACCTCGGCTTTCCATCTAGCGGAAGGTTTCGGAAGGATGAAAAAACATATATTTAATACTTGCGCCGCGTATTTAATGTTCGGCTCCGCCCGAACTTAGACTTTCTTACTTGTTTATTTTATAAATCTTTTTTAAAGCTACTTTATTTTTTATGAATAATTTATAGCATTAATCAGGCAATTAATTTAAAAAATGTATATAGTATATATAAAGACTACCCACCATATTTTGGAGCCTCGAGACAAAAGGCAACTTTTTGAAAATAAATTTATTATTTTCGTTGATTTAATTTTTTTCTTTTTTTGTTACATTTGAGATCATAACATTTTACCAAAACTCACGCTAGCGGAGCTGCGAGCAAAAGCTTCGTCATACCAAACTTCCTCTTTTCTGTTTCCTCTAAATTTCTTAGATAAAAAGTTAATTTTTCTTTCTTCTTCTACTTGCAGGTTGTAAACTCGCGCCGTGAAACCGATGCTGGCGTCTATTGGTGTGAGGCAAAAAATGAGTTGGGTGTGGCGCGGAGTCGAAATGCGACATTACGTATTGCCGGTGAGTTAACAAAAAATCGTTGGCGGCTAAATTTAAAAAGAAAACACATATCTACATGCATACAAATACACCAAAGGAAATTGCAAATATTTAAATGCATATGGCGCTGCTTAGAGCCGCGCAACAATGTGATAGGGTTAAAGCGCAAGCGACCAAAATAAATAGAAAAACAATATTTGCAAATAAAATTAAAGATAACCAACGCTCAAATCGAGTCAACCAAGTCAACGGAACGACGCGACACCAGAGACTTGAGACACCTTAGTACCTCAGAATATGTGTATGTGTTAGTGCCTATGCAACGCAAGCGACTTTTGGGAATTTTAGCTGCCTTGTCATCGCCCGAGTGCCACTGCTGCCTTTTTGCAACCTACGCTGCGTTGCACTGCTGTAAGCTCAAATAACTGTAATTTCTTCAACAGCATTCTTTTTTTTTTTTTTGGGTTCTTGAGTTTGTTGGCGGGACCAGGTCCTTAGAAAGCCAGGGTTTCCTTCCAATTTCGTGTTTTCCTCTGGATTACTACACGACCATGTAGTAATATTTTATTGGGACGACGAAGGTCCTGAATGAGCGAAGTAGCCTGGAAGGCTGTGATGTACACATTAGCGTGTGTAACAAATGTAGCCGGCAATATATAGTTCTTGTGTTATCATCAGCTTTTAATTGATTTATTTAATTTTGTTTTATATTATTGTTATTTTTATTTATTTATTTATTTTTATTTTTTTTTTTTTTCAGTACAGGGTGTGGTGGACGGTATTTCACCACAGATAAAAACGCAAATAATATACAAATTTATTAGAATTTTACTTCCGCTTTAATTAGAAAATGAGCAAGTGCTGTGATTTTGCGTCTATCGAAGCCGTGAAAAATATCATGGAAATTCTGGTTATCTTGAAAAATATCGAAGCCCTCCCTAATGTGGCCCAAGAGGGGACAATGAAAGGTTTGGTGAATGAAGTTATCTGGATCTCCACAGCTGCAACGGCTGCTGGATATAGCTTTGATTTTGAAAAGATACTCCTGATCATAAGTATGACCGGTGAGGATCCTGTTTATTAATTTAGTTTCTTTGGCTGACAAAGCAGTGGACTTGAACCAGTTATTTTTAGGTTTGGCACTGAAAATTTGAGCAAAAAGGTTCGGTTTAACATCCGAATATGCTAAAAAATTAGCATACCATTGATCGTTGATTTCGTTACGGATACGCCTGAGTGCTTCTTCAGGAGTAAGGCTAACATCGAGAACATTGTGACAGTTAATGGCGTTCTTGGCGATTGTGTCAGCTCTTTCATTGCCTGCTATGCCTTTGTGGCTTGGGGTCCAATTTATAGTGACATTATCAAAGTCTTCATTGGTCGCCAGGTTGTGTATCGCTAAAATAATGTGGTTATGGGTTTTTCCCTTCATCAGCAATTGGCAGGCAATGAGGCTGTCTGCGAAGATAACAATTTTGTCATATTTCAACTCCTTCGCTATTTCCAGTGCTCTTAGAATCGCCAGCGATTCTCCAAACGAGGAAGAAGCTTGGAAGGGCAGTTTGTGTGCATGCTCTGTATTGTTCGAGTGATTATAAATGGCTATGCCAGTGGAGGAATCGCCCACTGATGCGTCTGTAAAAAAAATTTTAAAATTATCACGTTTATAATCATGTACTAAGGAGTTGTAAATGGACCTAATCCTTTCGCTTGAAATGTTGTCTTTTTTGTCTGGAAGGGTTTTCATTACTATATTTAAATTATTGTGCAGAATCGTGCTACAGACCACATTGAGGCCCTCAAAGACATGTTTGAATTCGTTTAAGACAAGGCTATAGCTGGAGTTTGCTCTAGGGCAGTCGTATAAAAATGCTTTGAATGTTACGTCATAGATGAGATTGCTCATAATTTCTTTGGCCGTAAGCCATTTGGCCCGTTCACATGGCGGCAGCTCGTTGGCCAGAGCATAAATTAGGGGTACTGGAGTTGATGGAGTTAAACCCAGAGCTCTACGTAAGAAGCTGTTCTGGTAGGTTTGGATCTTTTTGTCGGCTGTTTTCGCACAGTTTGCCATGGATGATCTACAGTACTCTATTTTGCTTCTCACGATGGCTTTGTAGTAGTTTAGAGCTACCCTGGGATGGAGACCCGCTTTAACAGAGGTAAGACATTTGAAAAGGTAGGAGTTATTTTGTGATTTATTGAATGTGACTTTATAGTGCTCGCTCACAGCCAAGGATGCGCTAATATTCCTTCCTAGAAAGTTTAGATTTTGCACCTGTTGCAGTGACTGATTTTGGCACGTTATGTTGAAGGTCTTTTTGCTACCTCTGCAGATATTAAGGAACTTGGTCTTATCGGGATTGAAGGAGAGATTTAAGTTGTTACATAGCAGGTGAAAACTATTTATCTTGTGTTGAAGGTTCATGGCTGCCTGATCCGGGTCACGATGGAATGACAAAAGGATGAAATCATCAGCAAATTGATACAATGTGGTCATGCTGTCTTCTATGGAATGTAATCCCTTGGTGTAGAGATTAAATAAAAGGGGGGAGAGACAACTGCCCTGTGGTAGGCCAGTGCAGATCTCCTCCGCCTCTGATCCCAACTGCAGCCTTCTCAGCGCCAAAAAGTTGGTGATCCACTCCACATATGTACGGTGAATCCCCTCCTCAATCATCGTCGTTCTAAGCTTCGAAACTTTCACACAATTGTATGCGTTGCAGATGTCTGTTGAGCAGATCAGGACTTTGTACCCTCGACTCTTGTGGCAGGCAATTTCATGCAGTAGATAGTTGACGCATACTGTTGCTGACCTCTTTTCTCTGTATGCGAAAGAGTGCCTGGGAAGTGCAGCCCTTTCTTCCAGCTGGTTTCCTATCCTCTTCTTAATGACACTGTTGATGCATTTCATGAACACCGGAAGGAGAGCAATGGGACGGAAGTTTTTGATGTCCTTAAGATCCTTGTCCTTTTTGGGTATGGGTACAATGTTAATGCTGCGCCATCTCTCAGGTATTTGATTAGTGAGGAATACGTCGTTCAAGGCAGTTCTAATGTTACCTATGGCTTGGTCAGGTAGAGCTTTGAGCATGTTGTAAGTTATATGGTCCGAACCCCCTGCAGAGTTACCTTTTTTTGAGTGAATGGCTGTATGAAGTTCATCAAACGTTATGGCCAAACTATTAGCTATTACTATCTCCTTGTTGAGAGGCATCACCTGATCTGAGTTGGATACCTGAGACTTGAGGAAGTGGAGGTAGTTGCGGTTGTTCTCATTAGACCATGCATGTTTGCTGTTGTTTCTGAAGTCACCCCTTAGGGCCTTCACAAACCTCCAGGCTTCTTTTGTGGACGGGTTGTCATTCAACTCCTCAATTTTTCGTTCAAAGCTTCTTTTTTTTGCCTCTTTAACCTGATCTTTCCACTTCTCCTCAATATCGATGTATGCTTGAAAGTTTTCGGGGGTGGGGTGGGTCCTACACTTCTTATGAGCTATCTTCTTGAATCTAAACAGTTTCGCTAGTGAGTCATTCCACCATACCTTGGGTGTTCTATTTTTGGAGATCGTATAGGTAGCAGCCCTGACCTCTTCCTCAAGCTTGTGGTGAATATCATTGATGTCTGGTTCTACATTGATTTGTTGAAGGCTTTCTATAAGTTTGTGCTTAGCTAGGAATTTGACTTCTGTGACCTGAATTGCAGTGGATTCTATAATTATGGGTACGTGGTGGCTGCCACCAATAGTAACTGGATCAGTTTTCCATGTTAAGGGCATGCTGCAGTTAGTGAATGAGAGATCGAGTACTGAGCCATTTGTGGCCATTACATTGCTTTTGAAGGTGTGCGAGCCATCATTTAGAGCAAAAAAGCTGAAGTTGGAAATAATTTTGTGTAAGTTGTTACCACGACAAGAGGTGACGTGGTCACCCCATGCCCTAGCTCTGGCATTGAAGTCTCCCAGAATCAAGACATTTTCAAATTTTTCAAGGAAAGTAAGAAGCCTAAACACTTCATCTTTGAACGGCTCTATGAGAATGGTCTGAGGAAAATATACTGCACATATGATAAGGTTTGGCTCCAGATTCTTAGTTTGTACTATAAGTATATCACAGTCGGATGAATAAAGCAGTCTTTGAAATTTAATTCTTTTATTCAGGATTATGGCCACCCCGCCATATCCATCGTCCCTATTTTTTTCTATTATATTAAAATTAGTTATATTCCTATGTGCTAGTTCGCTAGAGGTGAAAATTTCACTTAAACAAGCAATGTCAAAATTGTAGTTATTTAAATAAAATTCGATTGTATTAATATTAGCCTTCAATGACTGGCAATTGTATTGCAATACTTTCATTGGGTTATGATTAGGGGGGTGACGGGGGGCCGCCACTAATTGCCTCTAAGTCTTCTCGAATTTTTATTGAGTCATACTTCTGCTTGAGCTTGGAGATTTCTTTAAGTGAGCCGCTCAACCGCTCATCTGCACATATTGTTTGGAGGATTTTGAACATATCTGTTACTAACCTTTCAAGCTCAGATACCTTCCCCTTAAGGTATTCAGGCTTGTCAAGTACAGACGATGTCTCAGCTCTTGTCTTCCGTTCTACCCTTCTTTGGGGTGATTTGGACGCATTGGAGACCTCCTGCCTGCCTCTGCGTGCTACAACATTAAATTTCACCTTGGTCAATCTTCTGTTAATGTTCACATCCTTATCTTGAGTGGTCTCTTCCTCATCAACTAGTTTGGGGAAGTCTACATCCTCAGTTGCTAATAAATCAAACCGATTTTCCCTGTTGTCGAAATATGTTTTTATAGTCTCACGTCGAGACATCTTTTTGACAGCCCTAACATAATTGATGTTTTGTTCCCTTTCCCAGGTAGCGCATTTTGATTTGTCGGACGAGATGTGGTCGACACCTCCACACAGTATGCATTTTTTGTTACACGAACTTTCTTCACATTGGTCAAGTCCACATTTAGTGCACCTTTTTTTGGATTTGCACGCGAACTGTGTGTGGCCAAGCCTTCCACAGTTTAAGCATTGCTTTAAGGGGGGAATGAAGAAGTCGACATTAAGTTTAGTGTAGTCTAGTATTATGTACTTGGGCAATTCCTTGCCCGAGAATCCTACTTTAATAGTTGTGGTGGGAATGAACACACCTTTTTCACTGTCTCTACGTGTGAAGCGCCTAATAGAGGTTATGGGGATGCTGGAAACCGCATTGGCCATAATTTCATCGTCGTTGTAAAAAGTGGGAATGCCTCTTACCACGCCGTACGTTTCAAGAGCCGACCTCGGAACAAACGCCCTAAGCCCTAGATCGTTTAACTTGGTACTTAATAGAAAATTATTAGCTGCAGCGCAGTTTTTAAAAGTCACCTTATACAAACTTTTCCCTATCGCACGGATAAACTCTATATCTTTGAAACGTAGGTGTTTAATTTTGTTAAATAGAGTAAGTCCATTGGTAACTCTAGTGTTAATTATGTCATTGCATTGCGAGGTATCTACCAAAACCAAGTAAACTCCCGAGAAATCTGCCGGGTACATTGTCATAGTTGTAAGAGGTTCATTACATTTACTTTTTGCCGTCACTGTACTGACGCTGAAATCGCCACCAGTCATGATTAGCGGTTCTTGAGTGCCCGTTGCACTGCCGTTAGCTGCGTCGACGTTGACGTCAACCGCCATGTCACCGCCACACATGTTCTCACATATAACCTCACTACTTTTTCCGTCAGCTTTTTCATTAGCTTCACTGCCCAAACCAAAATCACTTTTAATTTTTTCAAAATCCTGCTTCTTTAAAAGTTTGACAATTTTTTCATGATTGTCCCTCCTGAGCCTCTTGCCTCTGGCAAGATTGACACTAGAGAGAGCCTCGAAATCCTCGGCCGATGACGCCCTCGACAGTGATGTCGACGACGCCATAGCGGCTTTCAATTTTTTTGCTGCCGTCTTAGGCAGACTTCCGGCTTAAGAGACCACTATCCACGAAACAAAAAGATTTTCACAGCTTCAAAAAAAAAGGCAAAATCACTTACCCAAAGATTTATCTCCAAATAGTGGTGCTTAGTTAACGAAAACGAAAATTCCACTACACGCCAAAAGCGGAGCACAAAATGGCGGTGAAAAATCAATCTAGCTACACCAAGTAGCACACAAGAATATAAAAACTAGATTACTATGTTATACTGCACACACAAGTGCACGAGCGCCAAATCAACTTAAAGTCACAGTTAATAGTTTTGCGCAGAACACGTCCAGTCACACCCGAGGTTAAATCGCGAATGCAACAACAGCATTCTTGCGAATATTTTCTGTATGCTGCTTTTCTTGCGCTACCGCCTTGAGTTGCGTTATGTGAAATTTATGCAAAGTTGCTTGGTTGGGTTACAGAAAACTTGCTTGCCGCACGAGTTGTATGTGTATTTGTGGCATGCCACTTTAGCCTTCTCATAACCCGCTCCACATTCTCTATCTCTCTCTCCCTCTCCCGCTCCCTTTGATGTGCATCATATGTAACCAGTTTTCCACCTGAGTGCACGCATACTTGATTTCCCTTACTTTAGCAGGGTTAAAGATACACAGAGCACCTGCCACAAAGTTTTCGTATCCGTTTGTTGTTACACTCCATATGCTCCGGTGCATGTGCACCCAATAAGCTAGCGCATTTTCGTTACTGAATACCTGGTGTAGCTAATTTCTGTCAATATTTTTTACTCCTTTTACACTTTTCTCTATTTGCTGCAATTTTTCCCTTTTTCTTTTTCTGCTGGTTCCACTTTGTGTGCATCTTTTTTCAATTTCTTATTTCTTCTGCAAATAGCTTGGGGTGTATTTTTCAATATTTGCTTGAAAATCACGAAAAGCACGTCGATGCTGGCCGTGTGTCAGTTTTAGTAATCGAAGAGCGAAGCACAACCAGCGCAGCCAGCACTTTAGTAACTGTTATACATTGTAAAGTATAAACCGTTAGCATTTTTAATAAGTGCATGC